TGTTATGATATTATGATACTTTGGGAGTAAGGAACCTTAGCTTTTGTTACAGTGATTATTGCATTTTTAACGGTTCCTGCCTGCTCCCTGAGTTGCCTGTCATTGTGTTAATTGTTTATGTTCTAGATTTGGCAATAAAAAATAAGAATATATTGACTAAAGTCAGGCTATAATGAGTCAGACTATACGAATGACGATAATGATAATGACGTATTCATTATCGTGTTTGTAAGGTTGCGAAATCTCCCTATGCAGCAATGAACGGACACAGATCCATGGCGTGTAGACGTTCAGCCTACCAATAACAAAGGGTCGAGGATGAACAGACATCCCGCTGTCTGACCAATAAATGCAATCTTTCCTGAAATATTTGGTTCCTTTACAAAATAATAATAGGCCTACACAACGGTGTATTCATAAAGTTACAAAACAGGAAATTATTCCTGGTTTCATTAAAATCGCTACACTTGCTACAGTGTTTTCAATACAATCGTTGTAGTAGCAGTCTCCGACGCAATCGGGGAAGACTCCCCGATTTTTTCTGACCAATCAGCATCACAGAAAGCTTTCGGCGATAGCATGTAGCGATATGGAAACCAAACTTAGAGGCAATCGGCTCAGAAAAAGGAAACTTACGGAAATGAAATAAATACAAAGAATCACATCTATCGAGATTTCCACTTATTAATCTCAGATAAGAATATAATACATATTCAAAGTATTGAAATACGCGCCATCGTGTTGGAATTCAACACGATTGGGTGCATTTGAATACTCAAATCACGTTTAGGTGAGAGAATATCTTTATCCTCCGGGTCATTGTATCTATCCTTCCTGTCTATTTATTTCAACTTTGCAGACTTTGCTCTACATTTTTTTATTTTTTTTAACGTGCCAGTATCTCCCAGCCTAATTTCATATCACTGCAGTCCAAAATTTAGTGTCTGAATATTTGGCCTATTCTCTGGTTGCTTATTCTTAAGGTCCAGCTCACCATTTGATCAATTGTGATAGAAAATATATTAAATTAAAGAATTTAGGAGGTGAGAGAGAGAGTAAAAAAAAATGAATAACAATGGTAACAATCAAAAGACAAGAAAAGGAATGTCATATTCTGAAGAATTGAGGACTGCATTGCGTCAAATAAAACAATCTGAGTTCTTAGCTCAGAGTTGTCCACTCAAAATGTAATGATATATATTTAAAAATTTAATAAGCTATTTAAAAATGAACTAACCATTAAAATAAACATTCTTTCCTGAATTACATTCCGAGCCATTTGTTTTACAAAGTATGTGCTCTGAACATGCTTTGAGTTCAACAGGATTAATGTGTACCATTGAAGCTTCCGGGGCAAGGTAGACTGGAGTATACTAAGTATCCGGTATATAAAGGTAAATATAGTAGAATAACCTATAACTCGCAGCGTCATGGTGCTGAATTGCGTATGGGCGTGTTCCATGGCCTAGCCACCGTAAAGAGGCGCTTATACCGCTAGCTATATGCTCACATCATTACACAACGACAAGGGCCTGAAATAATTCATAGCATCGGGTTAATCCCCTATTCTTTCGAAAGAAACAAGTTAAGTTACCTGCTGTCAATAGGCCAACTATGTAAGTGCAGACACGGCATCGGCCCTGCGCGGGATAATTGAAGTATATAATACTTATTGCGAGTCTAGCTACTGTGGTACTGTGTAGCGCCTGTACAATAAATTATATATAATTAAGATGTACTTTAAATGTATCTCATTGATTTTTCATATTCTAGGATTTTAAAGTAACGGAGTATCAAAACTAGCAGTGATGTATACTTGGGTTATGTTAACATATTTCGGATATTTAAGGCCAGGTTACTCGCTTTGGATAAAGAACAACAAATAACGAATATGAAGTAGCTTTGATCATATAGGATTATGTTTATCAGGGAACAGTTAAATTACGATTAACTGTTCCATGTGTTTATCAATATTCTGAAAAACCAATGTGCATGTTTAAATAATGCTCGGACGTCATAATGTCGTCTGTGTTTACGTCAAGTAGGAAGTGACGCTATGGGGTGCACCAATGTAAATTGGAAATATTTTACTCAGGATGTTTATATTTACAACAGACATAGGAAGATGATTTACTTATATATGTTAGCTAACAAAAATATATCGTCAGGCCATGAAATAGCTACGGTTATGATTATTGCATTGTTAAAGGAAACTTGAGATATTTATGTGAAGTATTTGTATCATTATTTATTTCGCTTCATAATAACATGTTTCACTTATGTATATTTACAATCATAATCAAATATATAAAAAAAAAATAGCAACAAATATTCAATTAATCGTAACCAATATTTGATTGTTAACATACAAAAGAAATAAAATAACGTATTTCGTGTGAGTACTGTTGGCAATTCACGTTGATTATGGTCATCGTGTTATTACCTTGGGCCAACGATACCTCTTACACACACCTATGCCGCTTCACATAATTAAAAAAATGAATGCGTGTAAATCGTAGTCGCCCCCAGCACCATCAGAATCAGTTACATTTCACCTATTTGCTGCGCACTGCGCACCGTGTTGAACGTAAGTCTTGGCCTCGGTGTGTAAAACCAGAGGTGTCCGAAAAAATACTCAGAGGTTCGGCATACGGTAAATCACTTCGTAGTTTTTCGTGTTATTTACAACCGAACCCGTTTCATATATTGAATTTTCAACCCAATCAGTTTCACTGCGGCAGACATATGTATTTTGGTTTATCGCCGCATTCTTATTCACATATTCATGTTTGTTAACGTTCTCATTTTGATGTTTCTTGAACAACGTTACGCCATGTTTACGAAACTGGGCCTCCAACTCCTCAGCGATCGTTAGTAACGGGCGGTCTTTTGCGCTTCGGTTGTTCAGTGGAGCGTTTATATATACGTCTTCGCTTGTCCCTTTCCTTAGCTTCTCTCGTTTGTTCCTATCCCCGTCGATGATGTCTTCATATCTATGCATTGGAAGCCACTGATATTGCATTTCACTAGGGGTAGGGGTAAAACCTGGAAAAGCGGAACATTCGCTTGTTGTCGACGGTGAGGGCGAAGATGGGGCTGGCGATGGTACAGGCGAGTCATCTGGTGTGGCAGGCGATATGCACAATGAACCAGTGCTACGCTTAGATTTATTTGACATAGTGGAACTACGCCGCCGTTCCTTATTAGTTGCGAGACGCACGCTATCCGATTGGTGTTGTAGCATCATCGCTTTCTTTTGAACATACTCGTGTCTGTAAATAAACGTTAAATGTAATATTTTTTCATTATCATAATCAATAACGTCACGTCGTCGTTGTCATCGTCATCATCTTCATCATCATCCTCGTGAATCAATTATCTCTACTGTCATCACCATCATAAGCATAATCATCATCAACAACATTGTTATCATTATCATTATCATCGTCATCTCATCATCATCCTCTTTTTAGATGTCGTCATTATCATCGTCATCCTTACATTCATCATCTTCATCTTTATTATCATCATCAAGTGAAATATGTTAACTTATCATTATCATCATCATCAACGTAATCGTCATCATCATCGCCATCAATCAATTTTCTCCTTTATAAGCATCATAATCATCATCATCATCATCATCATCATCATCATCATCATCATCATAATAATAATTATGATAACCATTTTCATTATCGCTACCACCACCATCATCATCATCATCTTCATCTTCACTATCACCACCATCAATATTATCATCATCATCAGAAGAAGAAGAAGCAGAGCAACAGCATCATCACCGTAATCAGCATAATCAGCATTAAGGGATGATAACAAAATGAAGCAATGATGATTGTAATTTATTACACTACTTACGTGTTAACTCTGCTTATGCATCGAATAACCCACGCCACAGCTACAACAAGGAATACGAGAAACAAACCCAAACCGATGGATACAGCTACCAATGGAAGGCTCTCTGAATAAAAAGTATTAAGCACACGTTAAATTTACCATAAACTTTTAAACATATTTCCTACTCAAGCTATCAATACAACACTAGGCCTATACAGTACATACGCGATGCCTTTAACCAGACCTAACAGCTGGGGTAGTTATTTTTTATTGAATTTCCCGTCTCTGCGAAGGAGGTAGTACTTACGTCATCTTCCAAGGTCCCCTTTAAGTTTTCTTTTATGACAAATTTTTATAAAATATAAATTGTTGAATTATACGGGGGTTAAAGGTATATATATATATATATATAT